ATTGTGTATTCATTTTAATTTGTCTGAAGGTATCTTTTGATTTCTTCCTTGATCTCATTGTTAACCTATTTATTGTTTAGTACCATGTTATTTAGTCTCCATGTGTTTGTGTGTTTTTCAGTTTTTTTCTTGTAATTGATTTCTAGTTTCATATCATGTGTTTGCAGAAGATGCTTGATATGATTTCAATTTTCTTAAATTTACTGAGACTCATTTTGTTGCATAACATGTGGTCTATTCTGAAAAGTGTTTCATGTACACTTGAAAATAAAGTGTATTCTATTTTAGGGTGAACTGCTCTAAAAATATCAATTAAATCTGTCTGCTCTAATGTGTCTTGCAGGCCATTGCTTTCTTGTCAGTTTTCTTTCTTTCTTTATTTTTTTTTTGTTTTAGTTGTGTGGTTTTATTTAATCCTCCCAAAAGCCATTTAAGGAAGCACAAATGCAGAAACAAAGACTATAAAAAATGAAGTTAGATGTTCAAGGTTAAATTGCAAGTATGTAACATAGCCAAGATAGCACATAAATATGAGAAATTCTGGTTAGTGATGGAAGAGTTGAACAGCATACATTTCATTGTCTACTAAACTCTAAAAATTCTCGGATGTTGATTCATAACAATACTAACAATACTCTTATGTAACATCTTTTGTATAAGTACCTTGAAGTACTTCTCATATATTTCCACTTGATTTTAATGGTATCCTAAGATTTTTTGATATATTATAAAACTACTTTTTAAAAGACAAGATTATGTTTGTTTTTCTGACCTAATTTCTGTTACCTTTGGTTTTAATGGACATGTATTTCTTTCAAATACTTCTACTTTTCCTTTTTAAATATCAAAATATCAAACTACAATATATTAGAGAGTACCTATTTTTTTGAACTTCTTTTTCATTTATTTTTTTACTTATCATTTACAGTTGACATTCAATATTTTTTTTTGTTCTCCCTAGATTTTATTTTTTCTCTTTTATTTTTTTTATTTTATTTTTTTAAATACATTTGTCTCTGCCTCCCCCCCACCACTTTCCCTTACCCCCTCCCACCTTCCCTCCCTCAGCTCTTCCCCTTTGGTTTTGTCCATGAGTTCTTGCTATATGTTCCTTGACTTTCCCCTTCCCTTCCCTTTCCCTGCCCCCACCTCCCTCCTTCCCTCTTGTCTCTGTTGATTTCTTTTCCTTTCAGTGTTGCTGGTCATATTTTCCTTGCATCTTTGCATTGTTGGTTAGGTTCCGCTTATAGGTGAGATCATATGGTATTTGTCTTTCGCCCCCTGGCTTATTTCGCTTAGCATAATGCTCTCCAGTTCCATCCATGCTGTCGCGAAGTTTAGTAGTTCTTTTTTTCTTTCTGCTGCGTTGTATTCCATTGTGTATATGTACCATAAATTTTTGATCCAATCATCTACTGATGGGCATTTAGGTTGCTTCCAACACTTGGCTATTGTAAATTGTGCTGCTATGAACATTGGGGTGCATAGGTTCTTTTGTATTGGCGTTTTGGTGTTCTTAGGGTATAGTCCCAGCAGGGGAATCGCTGGATCAAAAGGCAGTTCCATTTTCAGCTTTTTGAGGAAATTCCACACTGCTTTCCACAGTGGCTGCACCAGTCTGCATTCCCACCAACAGTGGACTAGGGTTCCCTTTCTCCACAGCCTCGCCACCACCTGTTGTTTGTGGATCTGTTTATGATGGCCATTCTGACTGGTGTGAGATGGTATCTCATGGTGGTTTTGATCTACATTTCTCTGATGGCTAGTGATGCAGAGCATCCTTTCAAATGCCTCTGGGCCCTCTGTATCTCCTCCTTGGAAAAGCGTCTGCCCAGGTCCTTTGCCCATTTTTTGATTGGATCATTTGTCTTCTTGGAGTGGAGTTGAGTGAGTTTTCTTTCCTTGCTTTTTAGCACTTTGAATATTTCATGCCAATCCCTTCTGGTCTGAAGTGTTTCTGTGGAGAAATCAGTTGAAAGTCTTATAGGAGCTTCCCTTGTACATAACTAACTGCTTTTCTCTTGCTGCTTTTAAGATTCTCTATTGGTCTTTAACCTTTGGCATTTTAATTATGCTTTGTCTTGTTGAGTTCATCGTGGTTGGGACTCTGTGCTTCCTAGACTTACATGTCTATTTCCTTTGCCAGGTTAGGGAAGTTTTTCGTTATTTCTTCAAACAGGTTTTTGATTTCTTGCTTTCTCTCTCCTCCTTCTGGTACCCCTGGGATGCAAATATTGGCATTCTTGATGTTGTCCCAGAGGCTGCTTAAACTCTCCTCATCCTTTTAAATTCTTTTTTCTTATTGCTGTTCTTATTCTCCAAGTTTCACAGGCCCAAGCAGGCAGTGGCTGGTCTTAGTGTGCCCTGAGCCTCTTGCTGAGTGGCCCCAAACCTGCAAGTTTGAATCTGCATTAACCTGGTGAATGCCACTCGCCCCACCCAGGTGACCTCCTGAGAACCTGCTTCACAATTTGGGTACGGCCTGAGCTTCTTTCAGCAGCTGTTCCTCGCAGGCAGCCTGCCTTGCTTTGCAGTTTGGCCATACCCACATGTCCTTGGGCACTGCACAGGCAACTACCAACTACAGACTACTTTGTAGCACCTACCAGATGGCCCTGGGCAGGGCACATGCAGCCACTGACCTTGGTCTGCACCAGAGCCCCTCCCAAGAGGCCCCAGAACCAACATACCCAGTCTAGCTTCAGACCACAACAGAATACCACCCATTTAGCTCCACAAATGGCACATCCACAGGGTGGTCTTGGCACCTACCAGATCTTGCTAAAGCAAATCTCGCTCCATGGGGTCAGCCCCTGCACAGCAGCTTGTCCGCTGTGGTCCTGGCCAGTCCTCACAACCAGCAGACCAGTGGGGAGGGAGGGTCCAACCTCGCCCTTTGACATGCCAATAGCAGTCAAGGTTCAACCAGAACAGGAGGGGACATACAACCCCCACAAGGGACCTTCCTGGAACACCCAGCTCAGGTCACCAGGGAGACTGCACCACTGGGCCCCTCAGGACACCGACTACATAAGGCCATCATGCCAAGACTGGGAGATGTAGCAGTTCTACCCAACACCTAGAAACGAACACAGAGAGGCAACCAAAATGAGGAGACAAGGAAACATGTCCCAAATGAAAGAACAGGAGAAAACTACCCCCTCGCCCCCGCCGAATAAGAAAAACTAAATTAAATGGAGGCAAGCAGTATACTAGGTACAGAGTTCAAAAAACTGGTTACAAGGGTGCTCAGTGAACTTAGGGAAAGATAGATAAACTCAGCAACAACTTCAGCTAAGAGAGTGAACATAAAAAAGAACATAGGAACCTCAGAAGAGAACCAGTCAGAAAATGAAGAATACAATAACTGACACGAAGAATACATTACAGGGAATCAACAGCAGATCAGGTGAAGCTGAGGACTGAATCGGTGATTTGGGTGGAAGCCTGGGCTTCAGGCCAGGCTGCCTGTGAAGAGCTGCCAGGCGGGTGGATGCGGTGGAGTCTCAATGAGTCCCCAGGGTGGGTAAGTGGTGGTTACTGGATCATTGCAGGTCTAGGTTTGGTACCTGTCTGCACCCGCAGGCTGTGTGGGGACAGGGCGCAACACAAGAACAGTGGCCACTGCCCCTCCAGCCCTTGCCTTGCAGCCACACAATTCAGTTTTTCCCCATATGTCCCTGTCACCTTTTGAGCTGCTGGCCCTTTACTGGAGTTTAGGGCGAGTGTTTGTGAGCAAGTGAACCTGTGTGCAGGCCCTTTAAGAGGACGCCTGGGTTTCCAGCAGCCCTCCATCTCACCGGATGGAATCCCCAGTGATTCTCACAGCCAGGTATTGTGGCAACTCATCTTTCCAGCCCTGGTACTCCAGGCTAGCGGGCCTGGTGTGGGGCTGGGACCCCGTGGTCCTCATGGGAGATCTCTGCAGCCAAGCTATCCCTCCAAATTCTCTAACGTCATGTGTGGGTATTGGACCAGCCTGTTTCTCATCCCTGTCCCTCCTACCAGTCTCTGCGTGTCTTCTTTATATCCGTATTTATAGGAGCTCCATTCAGCTAGTCTTCAGATGGTTCTCCAGGTGTTTGTTGTATAATTTAGTTTTAATTTTGATGTGGTCATGAGAAGAGGCAAGCACAGCATTTACCTACTCCACTATCTTGATCAGGATTTCTCATTGTGGTTTTAATTTGTATTTTTTCAATGACTAATGATATTGAGTGTCTTTTCATGCACTTATTGGACATTTATATATCCTCTTTGGAGAAGTACACATCCTTTGCTCATTTTTTAATTGGCTATTTATCTTTTTATTGTTGAGCTGTGTGTGTATTCTCATTAGACTCTTATGTCAGATATCTGATTTGTATTCATTTTTCTCCCCTTTTGAGTATGTTTTATAGTGTCTCGATGCAGAAATGTCGTAATTTTGATAAAGTCCAACTTATCTATTTTTATGCATTTTTAAAGAACTCAGGCTCTTCCACATCAGCACCTGCAGGCCTATGTCATTACTGTCTGTAATGGAATATCACCGTATGGAACTCTACCACAATTTCTTCAAACAGTATTAATGGGCTGGTTTTATAGTTTATTGCTGTTACGGATAGTACTGCTGTGACTGTTTGGGGAGCATAGATCTTAACCATTTCTTACAAACAACTTTATAGAGTAAATTCTAGAAATAGAATTGCTGGATCAGTGTGGGCATGTGTTTAGAAATCTTGGTAAATCTCTTAAAACATCAGTGTGATTGCCTGTTGCCTCTCTTCTGCACACGATCTTGCTGGCTCTATGAGACACTGGCTTTATGGAAACGTTCCAGTTAGAGCTGTATCATTACTCAACTGTTCCCTTTTACAACCCGGCACGGATGCAGTTCCTGCCTAAACGTCTCTAGTTCCACTTGAAAAGATAAATTCCATGCAGTAGAACTGAGGGTTTGAAGGCAGGTACAGAGCTTTACTCGCTTGTTTACTTACCCTTTCCTCTGTTTCTCCCAGTGTTACAGAATCATTACAGTTGTTGGAAATATGGCGACTGCAACCCTCTCCATCTTCTGGAACAGTTCGGGCAGAACATAACTTTCCATTGCTGCCAGAAGGACCTGTGTAACAGAAGTGGTGAGACAAGTGTAACAGGGACCACAGTTCTGCTGGTGACTCAGCTGCTCGCAGCGTTCTGGAGACTTTTCATCTAAATCGATACCGGGAGAGATTCTCCTCAATTCCCTTATTCCTTATATTCCTTGTATATTCCTTATCTCCTTTGCTGCCACATTCCAAAAGCTTTATATTTTCCAACTGGATCCTGTTGGGAAAAATTAAAACAAGCTTAAGCAACTGGAGTAAGAGCGAGAGACAGATGTAGACTGGTCCTATTTGCAGAAAAGCCCATTTGCGGGAAGAAGTTTAAGAGTGAAGAGCGTGTGCTGTGAGCTAGGTTACACGCATCTTCCTCTGCTCTCTGCAGGGACAGCTTGACTAGATTCCCTGCGATCCTCAGCTCTTTCCTCTCTTGGTCTTTGGATGTAGTTACGTAGTGTGATGGGAACCTGGTGGGGGCGGACTGGGGCAGAGGGGTTCTTTTCAGCAGTCTCTCAGGGAATGCTTTTGTTCTCTCCGTTTGGGGCACCTATGTTGCCATGTAGGCATGATGAATGCCCCAGACATGGGCTGTCCATCGGGGCACTGAGGTTTGAAATGCAGAGTGATTGATTGGAATGACCATTATATTCTCAACTAGTAGGTGCCTGGCAGAGTAGGAAGTAAGCTTTCCAGATGGCAGGGCATAGAAACTCCAGGTCTGTCTTTATAGAGGTACCAGTAGCTGAAATCTGAAATTTCTTCTGCCCCTAAATTTTGCATGGGCTTTGCTGTCTTTCTCCAGAAAAACTTAACCACTCAAATTAATGATGTATTAATAAAACTGTTCCCCTCCCTTTTTCATTGGAGTGATGGCATATTTTCATTTTGTCACATACAGTTCAAGACTCAATATATGAACATTCTATGCTACATGAGCTCTATGATATTAAGTGCACTTATTTTAAGTATTCTTAGTGGGAATACCCTTGCTCTGTGTATGTCAGTGGTATGAATGCAATGGGAAGAGCCTTTGGGGTTGTAGTTTAAGACCTTCAGATGTCATCGTAAGCAGCAACAGGCTGCTGGCATGCAGCCTGGTGACTCCTAGCCGACCTGCCACAGATTGTGTAGAATTCCTTTGGAAGGGCTGTTCGCATGCTGGCAAATGCTGAGGCTTTCAAAAGCTCTACCAGTTCCTTAGAGAAATACCCCTTTTCAAAAGGGCGAAGTGTTACTTTATTCTTGTGGGTGCTGCTACCTCTCAAGATCTGGAAGACTTCATGACGTTTGTATTCTTATCACTTTGGTTGCATTGAACAGAATAGCCTGACTTGCTAATGAAAATGAGATTTATTGGTGAACATTTAAAAAAAAATGCTTTGATTATGTAATCTGCAAGATAATGTGGAATAAATGATGTCTTTTTGAAAATAAAATCTAATCGAATGCGTGAGCATGGTCATTGGCCAGGAAGGACAGCATCGTATGTAACATGTCTGGTAGAAGAGGAGACCTGGGGCAGTGCCAGATTTCTTCTGTTGATGCCCCCGCCAGATAAAGTCTTCCTCATCGAAACCCACCGTCACCTTGGTGCTCTGCGTTCCCTGCTGGCTCACTGCTTTTCCTTACACCATCTTTAATTCTGCTCCGAGACAAAATAGTAGGTGTGACTCTTTCCTTAACAGGACCTTTTCTACTAGCTTATAGGATTATTCACCATAAAACTTTTATTTATCTAAACTAAAACTTCCAGTTTATGCACACTTATATTATTTTGGAGTAAAATAAATGACCACAGGACTTCTCAGTGGGTGTCTATGTGGGTCCGTGGTAGGTAGGATGTCCTTTTCATCAGTAGCTGTGTGGGTCCAGAGCCTCTGGGCGGGGGGTGGGGCCAGCATGCACTCTGCAGAGGGTAAGCGCGCGGAACTGGGAACCAAGATTCTGGGATTGTGGAGCGGGGAGCTGCTTTTCTGTGATCAGCTTCCCGAGGGCACTGCCATTCCCATTCTTGCTCTTCCCGGCTCTAAGCCAACTCCAGTATGTTGGTCCTATATATACTACTAGTGCTGATGCAGCCTCAACCAGCCCCCATAAATCTGGCTATAGGTTTTATAGATCTATCAGTCACTATCAATCAACCTAAAATATTGACGTGGTAGCCCTAACTGGAATGTGTTGGTATGCCACTGGACTTAGCATTATAATCTTAAACTCTACTTGTGTAGGTAAAACGGGACGTGGCACTATTTTTCAACAAGGAATGTAGTGGTCACTACTTGAGGGCTTATTGGATGCCAGGCACTATTCTAAGCTCTATGTATATACGAGCTCACTTAATTTTTCTCCATAACTAGGAATAGCATTGCCTGTACCCAAACCCGTTGGAGCGTGAACAAGTTCCCACTCCCTACCCATTTTACTGGTGGGCTGTGTGCCTGGGCAGCTGCCCATGGAGCCAGCAAGGTCTCTGCCTGCCAGAGCTCCCTCAGCCCTTTTGTGTTGCTTGAACCAATTTAAGAAAGTTTCTGTTCTTTGCAACTAAACATCCCTGACCAAGACAACTACTAGTTACCAATTAACTGGCAATTGCTAACCAAGCCGCCCTTTTCCCTGAGCTATAGGAAGAAGTTAAAGACACACTAAAGGTAGGAATGGCAATAACATGTAAATGATGTGAATAAAGTAGCTTTGAGGTTTTTTTAAATGTAGGTTTACAGTAAGATCTCTTTGCAACAGACCTTTACCTAAATGCAATACATTTGCAGCACAGTTGTGAAGGGTCCTTTTCACGCCTCCGCCGCTGATGAGCTCGCAGGCCTGGCGCATACTGCTTCTGGTGACCCTCTATGTCGCCATTAGTTGTGACAGTGGGGCTACCATAATGGATACTAGATTTTTAGCCGTTTGGCATCTGTTACCCCTCCCTTCTGAAAACAAAATTGCAATTATCTGTTGGGGCATTGCTTCCACCTTTTAAGTGCAGTCTTGGAGGGCCTGTTAATGAAGGTGGTCTGCCCTCCCCTCACCAAAAGGTGGGCAATCTCTTGGAATTTAAGTCTTAAGTTATACAAGGAGTGAAAAATATTTTTTGGTTGAAGCTGTGAGCCTCTCAGGAAGGCTGCAAGTGACAGATAACTCAGAGTAGTTTAATCAGACAGTCTGATTTTCTTGCATAAACAGTCTAAAGGTAGGCAGCCACTGGCGTTGGTTCAGCTGCTCAACAAAGGCTCAGTGGGTATACTTGTGATGTACCTGGTCTTTCTGTCATGATCACAAAGGGACTGCAGAAGCTCCAGCCTCGCACAGGTGTAAGGCAGGGAGAGGAGATGAAGGGAAAGTTTCAGTCATTTCTGTCCCTCTTATTAGGAAGGTAAAATCTTCCCTGGGAAGCTTCTAGCTGTTGTCTGGTCATACCTCCTGGCTGGAGATGTCTCATAGCCGCCCCTAGCCGAAAGAGAGGCTGGCAAAGCTACTCTTCCATTTTTCCAGCTTCTATAGGCAAAGGCTGCAGGAAAAGGGGCTAAAAATAATCATGGAGACTAGCCAGCCGAGACTGTCTACCCCTGCAGTGCCCACTGAAGAGGCTGTTGGTTCCTTCCTGCTACCTGGGTCCCTAAAGTTGCCCCAGTCTCTGCACCCTCAGCCTAATCCTGAAGCTTTCAGTGCCACAGACTCTCCTATTGCCCTTCATATAAAATCGCAGTATCAGCCTCTGTTGCTTGTGAGCAGAAAATTCTGACCGACCTCCTCTCTAAAGTGTTGCTGCCAGGATAATTGGAGACCATGTTACGGTAAGTGGTCGATTAAGTGTTAGCTACAATTACTTGCCCCAAGGCGGCCCGCTAGTTGATGCTGGTTGCTGAGACTTAAACCCAGCTCGCTCGTCTTCTGAGCCCCGGCACTCTCCATTCCAGGAAACTGCCTCCTCCCACACTTCAGTTTTTTTTAAAAAATGTGCTTACTCTGCAATTGCTTATGAAAACATCTGCCAAAGGAAAGAAGGAGAAGGGCTGGGCACCATTTTTTTTTTTTTTTTTTTTTTTAGAAACTTTCTTGAAATAGTGGGTGTTGTGAAGGGAGGTGGGAATGCGTGGGCCAGCAGCTCCTGACCAACACAATGGTTAATTCATATGAGTAATAAAGAGAAGACTGTCCTGGGGTGGGCGGGGGGAGACTGTCCCGTGTTTTCCAGGATAGCCAGAGCCTTGAATTGTGACACAAACAACTTCTAGTTAGAGCCAGTCCCCTGCCAGTAAGAGAAAGCCAGCGTGAAAGTGACCTTACCCGAGAGAGCGGAGCCAGGGACTGTTCGGAGGGAGGCGGTAGGAAGTAGTGGCCAAGAGGCTGAGCACTGGGCAGCCTGTTGGGATTCCAGCTCGGACACTAAACAGTGGCTTGGAAAATGGGGATAATAATACCTACTGCTGAGGGTTGTCAGAATGATCAAATAAGTAAAGACAAGTTCCCGGCAGGCAGTCACCTCTCTGTTTAGTATCACTGTCCTCAGCAGGACAACAGGTGAAGCAGCTGCTAGGGTGCAGGGCCTGCCAAATTGCCTGGATGGGTTTGGATTGCAGGGAGGGACACGCCCATCCTCCTGCCCCACTGTCCTCGTCAACCTTCATGGTGAATTAAGGAGTCCATGTATAACTGTTTAATAATCATAGTCACACTTTATGGAGCACCCCCCGTGTGTCCCAGGTTTTGCTTAACATGTTTTCATCAGATACATCAACCCTATGAAGTAGATATTGTCTTCATGTTATAGCCCAGAAAACTGAGGTTCAGAGATCTGGCGTGGCTTTCCTAGGGTCGCAGAGAGTCCCGGATTCAAAGACGACTCTTGTCTTCATATGTTCAGGCTGTACAACATTTATTTTTCACAGTTCCGGACACTGGGAATTCCAAGATCAAGGCTCCTGCGTATTTGGTGTCGGTGAGAACCCACTTCCTGATTCATGGGTCACAGTCTTCTCACTATGTCCTCACAGGGTGGAAGGTGCAAGGGAGCTCTCTGGCATCTCTTTACTAAGGGCACTAGTCCTGCTCACGAGGGCCCTGTCCTCATGCCTCCGTCAGCTCCCAAAGACCCCTACCTCCTAGTACCCTCCCCTTGGGGCTTCAGTTTATAACATAGGAAGTTTGGGGTGAACACAAATGTTCACTCAATAATAACTCTGTTGTAGTCCAAGCCACAAGCTCTACGTGTTTGTAAAAGCTGTCCAGAGCCGAGGCAGGCATGGCCAACTGTGACGAACCCCGAAAGAGGAAGAGAATGTGGTTAAGGCGTGATTGCTGGCATTCTGTCCAGATGCAGAGCTAAAGTGATGGAGGGCAAATGGGGCTTCCAGGGGAGCAGGTGTAGTCAAACCTAAGTTCATTTGCCCAATGAGCAGTAAGACCAATCACTAAAGCAACGAGTGTGCAACAAGAGCTTATTTTCAAAAGGCAGCCAAACAAGGAGACAGGGAAGGCCCAAATCTGTCTCCCCAAGAGGAAAAAGAGCGGTTTAAGAGGTTTTAAAGGGGACTTTATATGCAAAGGGAGAGGAACTAAGGGGTTCTAAATCTGATAAACAATGGAACATTACTCAGCTATAAGATGAAATACTGCCTTTTGCAACAACATGGATGGATCTTGAGAATATCGTGCTAAGCGAAATAAGCCAGACAAAAAGTCAAGAACCATACAATGTCACTCATATGTGGGATATGAAACAGAGCAACAAATGAACAGGACAAACAAAATCTCAGATGCAGACAACAGTTGGGTGGCTACCAGAGGGGGAGAGGGGGTGGGGCGAGGTAAAAGGCGTCAAACAGATGATGGCAGGAGGACACTTGACTTTGGGTGATGAACACACAATGCGATATACAGGTGATGTCTTAGGACTTGCATACTTGAAACATATCTTGCTAACCAATGTCACCCCAATAAAGTTAATAAAATGTTAAAAAATGAAAAATAAACTCAATAAAAGAGATGAATGATTTGGGCTGGAGGGCTGTTTTTGCAGAACTCTTGTGTCAGTTTTTGTGTTGCCATGGTATTTAAATAAAATCGCTATCTTTAAATCACTCTACTATAGCTTTATTATTTACCCTCACATTGGATAGCTATCTGGCTATCACTTGCAAAAAAGACTGTTGTCTGAGATTTCATTTCAAGGAACCATAAAGCTCAACTGCAGGTGTACTCAAACTCCTGCATTCCTATCCTGAACTTTAAATTGTATCCTTTTTGTTAAGCTCTAGCTTCACAAGTCCAGAAGAGGCTTTCTGTACCATCTACGGCAGTGTGATGACTGAGGAAACCAGGCAAAACAGCACCCCGGGGCACTCCCCTGACCTGCTGGCTGGGCAGGGTGGCGGCGGTGGAAAATTATAAACCTCAGCTGCGATGAGGCAGCCTATATTAAATATTTTGAGTCAGT